CCAGCGAGCGGCCGAGCTTACCTGGCTCGCAGCCACCGGTCCCCCCACCCTCGGAAGACGACTTAGCAGGGTCGTGGTCGCTTCGCCGGGGGCGTCTGGCCTTTGCCCCGTGTCGAGGTCTGGCCCAGCCGTGCGCCTGTGAGTCCCACGCGCGACCTCGGGGACAAAGGCGCGCCGGGCCCGACCTCCGGGGCTCCCCGGGGCCCGCCCGGGCCGACGAGGCCGCGCGCCCGTAGGCGGGCCGAGAGCAACGGGGTCGCGAAGCCGGCGCGGGAAGGGCAGGCGCAGGACCCGCCCTGGCGCCGCGCCGGCCCCGGCCGCAGCGCCGCCTCTCTCCGCCGGCTCTGTCGACTCTTCGGCCCCGCGGCGGCGGCGGCGGCGACCCTCAGCCGGGCTGAGGCCTCACCTCGGCCGCGGACAATGGCGGCCGCTCCCCCGGCGTCGACCGGGACGCGCCGCGGGGGCTGCTGGGAGTGGTAGTCCGACAGCTCACTTCCGGCGTCGGGCCGCGGCGCCGCCAAGACGGGCGCGCTGCTGCTCCGCCCCGAGTGCCCGCCGCGCGGCGCTGCACCCGTCAGGACGCCGGCGTCAGAGGCTGCGGCGAGTTGGGCGGCGTTGTTGCTGCCCCAGACCGCCCTCCATCGCGCCGCCGCCCAGCTGGAGGGGCAAGTCGCAGCCCCGAGCCTCAGTTTGCCCGTCCGCAAAATGGAGGCTTAACGATAGCCGCGTTCGCAGCAGGAGCTCGACGGGCTGAGCGCTTTCTGCATCCCAGACGCAGGTCCGAACGCTCCGGAGGGATCGTTTCACTTATTCAGAAGACTGTGAGAAAGCGGCTGCTATTATACCGCTTTTTAAGATGAGGAACCTAATTCTGAGCTTCCCCTTGCCTTTGAAGCCCCACTTCAAAGAGGTCGTTCCCAAACCTCTTTCCAGACGGCAAAACGTCATGGGCGTATTAGTTAGCACCGACCTCTTTTGCAATTTTTTTCCCTTGAGTCAGCACGTACTAAGGGGCGCTTGGGAACAGAGCGGCGAACGGGGCTAAGGAAACCGCCGCCGTGGCAGCTGCATTCAGGGCCACTGTTCAAGGTCAAAGACGGGGGACGGAAAGGGCTCACCCGGGACCCTTGGCACCGACCCCCAGCCTCCGGCCCTAACTGACTCTGGAGGATCCCCCACAGCATTTATTGTAACAACACACTTAGTGATTTAGTTGAAAAAGGCAAAAAAGCCCTACGTGTAATTGAATATCAAATAATTCATGCATGAAGCTTGCTTTTATTGCCTACCCAGTACTCAAACACTCACACGTGGACGTGACATCTCCACACCTTCGTCCCATATGAAAAGAACAGCGCTCCGCTTTTCTCTCGTGCGTGCCCAGGAAGTCTGTCTGGGGCGGGAGGCGGGGAGCAGGTGATGAGGTTCTCGCTGCATTTGTGTTCTATTAAAATTGGATAATCTTGCTTGGGTCATTTTTTCTTAGTTTATTAATTTTTTTCTTAAGTTTATTTAGTAGTAGTATTTAACTTGGAGAATCTTCCCATGCTGTCAGCTAGAATTGTCTATAAGTCTTAAAGCGAAACAATTGGGGACGGAGCCTTGGATTACCTTTTCTCCTAGACCTCTCAAAACTCTCCGAGAAGGAGCTGCTCCAGGCGAGCCATGTGTTTGACTGAGGTGAGGCATATTTACCACTTGAGATGTGGATATCTGCAAAGAGCACCCTTGATGAAAGTGACTCCGTCTTAGAAACAGACTTCGTTGTCAAAGGCAGCACACCAACAGAGATGAGATTTTACAGCCTATACCCAATCAGATAGGGGCATAACATTTTACAGTCCCCACTGGACAACTCGAGGTCTATAAAAGGAGGACATTTCTGGCCAGCCATTTCTATAGCAACTGTCCTGCCCTCTCTGATAAGCAACCAGGCATGTGCCAGCAAAGCCTCTGCCAAATTAACAGCTCTTCCTTGCAAGACACAGACTGCCCTGCTGACGACTGACCAGATCAGTCCAGGCGTTCTTGTCTACCTCGCTTTCCTTGAACTGCTTCGTTCACCCCTTGTCCCGTCCCCTTTTTCTCTTGATGTTAAATATGACTTTGTTTGATGTGGAAATTTTAATCTAACATTTATATATTGATTAAATATATGATTATGTATGGTTCGCGATACTGACTGACTTGTGAGGTGGCTTGTGCCTGTGTGTTCTATAGCCAGAGCCATTCACTGCCTATGGAGTGAGCGGGCAGTACTAAGGAGAACTGCCTCCTTGGGAACTGTACCTAGCTCGTGATTGTTATGATTGAAATAGCATCAGTAAAAGCTTGACACTGTGGAAGGAGAAACATGCGTGGACCTGGTTACCTCTGACCTTGCATGGCTCACAACAGCATCTCACAGAGCTCTGAGTCTGAGTACTGTGGTACTTGAAGTGAGATATTTTTCATACCCTGCATGACTGTGTGCTCCCTCCTTCCTCCTGCCGTGTTTCTGTACGTGGTGGACCCACCAATCCATGTTCTCTAAAGTCTTCTTTGAGGTTCTGTAAGAAATTTTTCAGAAAACTATTTATTAGAGAGAATTTTGGACACAAGAGCAGACAGCACACGACAGTGAGCCTCCTTGTCCCCATCATGCAGCCCTGATCGACCCATAGCCAGTCCTCAGAAGCCTCTCCACCGTTTCGAATCATTTGAAAGCAAAGCTCAGACCCTCTACCATTTCACCTACTGTATGTAATTTCGAAAGATAAGGACTGTTTTCTCACATAACCATAATCCCATTAATAAAACTACAAAAAAATTTACCTCCTTTGCATCATTGAATAGTCAGTATTCCAATTTGTAATTCTTTTTTTAATAGTTGGATCTTCTTTTTAAAAAATCAGGATATAACAAAAGTCCGTACTTTGTCATTGATTGTCCTTTTTTTAGTAACAACTTGAGACAGAGTTCGCATACCATACAATTCATCCGCTTAAACTGTACAATTCAAAGCTTTTTAGTATATTCATAAAATTGTGCAACACTCACAAAAATTAATTTTAGAACCTCATCATCCACAAAAGAAGTGCTAAACCCCTAAGCCATCACCCATCAACCCACGATCGCCCTCTTCCCCAGCCCTAGGCAACCACCAATACATGCTGTATCTCTACGGATTTGCCTGTTCCGGATATTTCATGTAAGTGGACTCTTACAGCATGTGGTCTTTTGTGCCTGGTTTCTTTCACTCGACATTATGTTTTCAAGGTTCATCTGTGTGGTAGCCTGTGTCAGTACTTCATTCCTTGTTATTGTCCAGTAACATTCCATCGTATGCATACGCCACATTTTGTTTATTCAGTCATCAGTACACGGGTATTTGGGTTGTTCTCACTTTCGGCCATTACAGACAGTGCTCCTCAGCGAGGACTGGTTCGTGAGGATGGGCCTTGGGGGAGGCGCCTGCTCTGGGGCTCCTTGCTCTGTGTTTCCCACTGAGCCCGGCGTCCTCGCCTCAACCAGTCTGGGGCATTTCGCTCTGGCTTTAGCAGGACGATGTAGCACTTGGGGATAAAGATGCCGCCCAGCAGCCCTGCAGTGGAGGCCAGGATGGAGAAGATCTCCACAGCCACAGTGGACTTGCCCCGGGCACTGTGGTACAGGGGCAGGAAGGTTGTCCAGACGCTGCAGAAAAGCAGCATGCTGAAGGTAATGAACTTGGTCTCGTTGAAGGCATCGGGCAGACCCCTGGCCAGGAAGGCCACAGAGAAGGTGACCCCGGCCAGGAGGCCCAGGTAGCCCAGCACGCAGTAGAAAGCGACGCCAGAGCCCTCCTGGCACTGGATGACGATGTGGCTGGGCTCTGAGGCTGTGTCCCTTTCTGGAAATGGTGGGGAGGTGCCCAGCCAGACCCCACAGAGAACAACTTGCACCAAGGAGGCAACGAGGACTACCGAGGTAGAGGCGCCAGGTCGCAGGCACACCTGGACCCTGTCCCCCGGCCTAGTGACCCTGAAGGCCAGGACCACAGTGAGGGTCTTGGCCAGGATGGAGGAGACAGCCACAGTGAACACAATGGCAAAGGTGGTCTGGCGGAGGAGGCAAGTGGCAGCGGTGGGACGGCCGAGGAAGAGCAAGGCAGAGAGAGCACAGAGGGCCAGGGAGGCGAGGAGCAGGTAGCTGAGAGCTCTGTTGTTGGCCCTGATCACAGGCGTGTCCCGGTGCTTCAGAAACACCCCGAGGACCAGCAGCACCAGCCCAGCCAGCACGAGTGCTGCCGAGGCCAGCGTGAGGCCCAGGGGCTCGTCGAAGGCCAGGAAGATCTCTGTCCTGGGCAGGCAGTGGTCTCTGCTGTGGCTTGAGTACTGCTCCTCTGGGCACAGAAGACATTGCTTCATGTCTGTGGAGACACACAGACCCCGCGTCTGCAACATCATAGCAACGACACCAGCCACATAGAGGGAGGCTGCCTATGCACCCAGAGGGGTGTTTCACATCTGTCAGTGTGCTGATGGGTTATTCTGAAGCGCTGGTGCCAGGATGGGCCACATTAGAGCCTGCGGCACAAGGAAAAACGCGCACCCTATATACAATGTTTGTATTTGGGCCTTTTAATAGTTAATTTTTTCCAAGTGGTAGCAGTAACTATTCTTTTTTTTTTTTTTTTTTTT